ACTTACAGACATTGACGTTGGACATGTTGTCATTGCACAGCCTGTGTGGGAAAACAGGACCAACTGTTAATCCTATGGGAACTGCACATTTCTTCAGCTGAGAATTTCCCTTTTTTTACAAGGTAGGTATTCCCTATTCTTTCTGAATTTCACAATTATTCAAAACCAATTGGCAACCTTGAAATTAGCATTCTTAGATGAAATATAGAAAACATACTTACGGCTAAGAATTAAAGCACAAGTGATAGGAAATTTATGTCTAGAGTACATGGAAAGATTTTACCCTCACATAGCATAATCTGTCAAGAATTTAGTCAAATAGATGCAAAGACATGTACCTGTTCTCCTCTCCCTCCAGCAGCTTCCTGTACATGGCAATCTCAACATCCAGGGCAATCTTGACATTCAGCATCTCCTGGTACTCCTTCAGCAAGCGAGCCAGCTCCTCCTTGTCTTTGTTCAGGGCACTTTCCAGCTCTTCCAGTTTCCTCCTGGCATCCTTGAGGGCCATCTCACCGCGCTCCTCAGCCTCAGCAATAGCTGACTGCAGCTGCTGGATCTGTGAAAGAAAGAAAATCGCTTTCCCAGTTCCCTTCTGCACACCCTCCACTGGAGCAGTCCTCAAGGGACAAACTGGATGGAAAACAGGCAGGAATCATCCATCTCCTCCAATGGATCTGAATTTCAGAGGTTATGATTCCCTCACTTTCCCATTAGCACATCACCCATCTCAGTCATAACCCACCCTGATGCCACCACGCGATGAGATGCTGAGCAGACCCTACCTGCTTCTTCACGTTCTCAATCTCAGCCCGCAGCCTCTGGACATTTCTGGTCAGCTCTTGGATCTCTATCTTGGTGTTGCGGAGGCTGTCCCCGTGCCTTCCAGCAGTGCTCTGTAGCTCTTCATACTGATGGCATGGACAAAAAACAACCCATCAGTGACACAACCTATACAGAACTCGGGCAATTCCCTTGCTCTGTGGCAAAAGAGACATGGATCGGCAGAGACTGTCCCATGCACCTTGACTTCTTCCCAACTCACCTGGCTCTGGTAATAAGCCTCAGCCTCAGCCCGGCTGTTCTGCGCGATCTGCTCATACTGGCGCCTGACCTCCTCGATGATGCTGTCCAGATCCAGGTGACGGTTGTTGTCCATGGACACCACCACGGACAGGTCCCGGCTGATGGTCTGCATCTGAGCCAGTTCCTATGGCCAAGACAGGCAATTCAAGCGACTGTCAAGACTACAGCCAAATAAGCACCCTGTCCAACTTCAGTGTCTTTGACCACCATACACCTCATTGCAACTCCAACCAGCCCAGAGGAATGGAGAGCTCTTACCTCCTCGTACATGCACCTCAGGAAGTTGATTTCATCGGTCAGAGCTCCCACCTTGGATTCCAACTCAACTTTAGTCATGTAGGCACAGTCCACATCCT